GAAGCTGGAAACACAGACGATCGATTTCTCACCTGGGATCAGAACAGGGAAGTGTTAGGCACAATTCATGATCTCATATAGGGAATTAAGTGCTTACTGTCAAATACCTCCCAATTAGTGCTGTGCTTTCATGTGTTCAATAGTTCTTAAACCTATTGTGGTTCACAAAGAAGACTAGTCTAACATGAATCAGTTCTCTAAGAACTTTGGGAGTGAATTTGATCATTGCTGATTGATTTACAAAATGTACTTCTATTTATTATATCAGAGTTTTTGAACCTTAATCTCATTGTCACCATTTGAGTAACTATAGCCCAAATTTAGCTGTCAGTAAACACGACTTAGAGACAATTTCATAACGCTGATGAAAAAGGTATTTCATACATTTGGTTCCCTTGATAAATTTCGATACAGAAAGAAAGACCAGATTTGCAGTATAAAATGATATCATTCTATTTCACAGGTTCTCATCAGCTGCAAACTACCTGAAATTACAATGGTTACAATTAATAACATTTCATACTTCATTGTTTGAAAGGTAATACAGAAAGCATTATAAGATAAACGCATCCGGAATATAAGGATTACAATTTTTGTAGCTTAAGTTACCATCAATTTATATACTATCAATCTATGGCAAAAGTCCATCTACAGAAAAGAAACTTGGACCGGACAATACCTTCACTACAACAGCTTCTGCCCTATGAGCTATAAGCGAGGATTAGTAAGGACACTGTACGACAGGGCTAGGAGGTTATGTTCGCCCAACAAGATAGAAGAAGAATTAAGCTTCGTTGAAAAATGCCTTAAGGAGAACGGGTATCCAAAAGGATTTATCCAAAAGTACAGCAAAGAAAGAGATGAGAAAGAGAAGCATCCAACAGTTGAAAAGAAAAAAGTATTCATTTGCCTCCCATACAAAGGAGAAACAGTATCGCGAAAGATTAAAAAAAGGATGAAAGGAGCAATCAAGAGATGCTTCCCTGCAGCCAATCTAGTGACACTATATAGTACTACATGCTCTATAAGCCAATCGAAACTGGATAAATACCCTGCTGATGTTACCTCCAACTGCATTTATAAATTTACGTGCACCTGCGGCAGCAAGTACATCGAAAGGAGAGAAAGAAGGGCTTCTATCCGGTTTTCAGAGCATATTCCGAGAAACTTATGCTTAAAAGGAAGCAAATATTTACAAAGTGCAATTACCAGACACCTTGTAGATACAGGCCATTTTGTTGAGATTTCCAAATCCTTCAAAATATTAAACATACAAAGGACAGCGAATCTACTACGATTTGCTGAAGCAATTGCAATCAAACGCTTCGGACCAAACTTATGCACACAGAAAGAGAGTGTAGTCAATCTCTCACTCCCTTGGTAACCATATCACTTTCATTACAGTGATTACTCATAGACACTAGTGAGTTCAACTCACTAAGCAAGTTTTCAAATTGATGAACTTTGACCTTGTTGAGTTGCCATGTTGACACTGTTTATTAGATTTTTCTGTATTCTGTCTTCTCTCACCCCCCCCTTTTTCTTTCTTTTTGCCATAGATTGATAGTATATAAATTGATGGTAACTTAAGCTACAAAAATTGTAATCCTTATATTCCGGATGCGTTTATCTTATAATGCTTTCTGTATTACCTTTCAAACAATGAAGTATGAAATGTTATTAATTGTAACCATTGTAATTTCAGGTAGTTTGCAGCTGATGAGAACCTGTGAAATAGAATGATATCATTTTATACTGCAAATCTGGTCTTTCTTTCTCTATCGAAAAAGGTATTTATTATGAATTTGTATCAAAACAGTAAGTGAGAAAGGCTGCTATAATTGTTAAAAGGTAATCAGTCAGCAAAGAAATGTTTCAAACAAGAGACAAGAACAAAATCAACTGCAGTAACTTCCTTGGTAATCTTCTGCAGGCAGCATAAGGAAAAAGATCCGGATTTTCAACAACAATATCAAGTTGGTCTTCCTATACGGGTCAGAAACTTGCACTGCGTGTCACGGAAAGGATTTTCAACAGGCCACTGCAGACTTTTATCAACAGTTGCCTTCTCTGGCTCCTTAATGAAGATCAAATGGCTAGCCAGAAGGAATTGGCAACAAGAAAATATGGGAACAGACCAACCAAGAGCCGATCGCTCAACAAATATGTAGGAGAGAATGGAGATGGATCGGGTATACATTGAGGAAACCGTCGAATGACATCGCATGTCAGGCCAACGCTCGAGTGGTTCGTCCTAGGGTAACATGGAGGAGATCGTTTGTGGAAGAGATGAGACATTATGGGCAATCGTGAACTCAGCTGAACAGGATGGTAGAAAATAGAAGAAGGTGGAGATGTGTAGTTGAAGCCCTATGTTCCACTAGGAACCCAAGGGAACGATAATAATAATGTTCCTTGAATTAGTAGTACGAAGTATATTTTAACATTCAGTACTGTATACTGCTCAGCGGTGCACTTTGCAGACGTTAAAATGTAGATAAAGAAATATTTTCAACCAAAGAAAATGAAGAGACCTTACAGTTGAGAGTGTAAAGTAGACATATTACGAAACTGATAGTGGGATTTTAAAAAGAATAAATAAATAGTTCTAGTACGCAAAGCTAGGAACTCCGGTGGTGGAAACCAGAGATTTCAGCAGTACTAGAATGTTAGTAAAATCTTTTAAATTGGTTTGATTTCAATTAATAAACAATGTAGCTAAATAACTAGACGAAAGATAGGCTCATGAGTATGGTTACTGACTGATTTACATTCTCCTTTCGACTGTCATACTGGTCGAATTGTCCGTTCTCATGATACACATAGACCTACTTAAATACTCCTACGGCAGAGACTTTATTTCATATTAATTTATTTAGTAGTACTACAGCGTTCTGAGAGCTTCGTTGTTCATAATCAGGTAATAATCCCTGTCCTTTGATTCTTAACAGTAGCAGACTCTTCATACCTCCGGGACTGACACTGCGTAGTAGCTGACCCAGTGAGTAGATACTCAATCCTCAGCTCCTTTGTCTATCTAACTACATTGGAGGTTACCATATTTGGCCGTGTATTTCACTGTATGCAAAGAGCAGTTTTCTCTGAATCAGTTAGTCGCGTTGTGTGTGCTATATTAAGCCGACAGATAGAATAAGATTTCACACGACCATAATGCTTGAATCCGACTCCTCGAAAAGAAGGAACTTCCTTTTGAAATGTGAGAATTAAGAAGCAAGCACTCTTCAAATAACAATTTCAAAGGTAAGTCTATGAAAGAGGAAGAAAAGTACAAACTCAAACTACATTCACAAACACCTCGTCAGTCCTGTTGAATTACTTCAATTATTAAACTTCTTTTCGTCATATTCATCAGTATGCTTCAAACATTATTTCTGAGTCATAATATTTGCGAACAACCCATAAGATGATATCTTTTTAAAACCAAGAAACCTTCACTTATAAATGGAAGTCCCTGCTTCTCTTTGGAGAACTGATGATGATGTCTTGCATAATAATGAAACGTTTGCCAACCAGAACCTCAGCCTAAGGAATTTAATGTACTAAAGTTTAATGAATAGAGTCAAGTAGTAGGTTGACAATAGTGATGCACAAGGGTTTTGTTTTTCTCCAAGCAAGTACGTAAACAGGATCTCTTTCAGTATTTTAACAACACCTAAAGTATTTCTTAAGTTCTTTTTCATAACAGATAAAGAGTGACAAGAACAAATCAATAGTGATAATTACTCTAAAAATAATCCAGAACCATATCCATTTGTATAGAAAGCGTCAAATTTTCTGACTAAGTTTCTGCATAGAACTTTACACAGAAGTGAATCAGTTTAAGGTTACGACATTCCATGAAGGGAGCTAAGGTAAGAGAGATTCAAAGAAGATTCAAAAGAACTCCAATGAGCATAAATGTGAGGGAGAAAGAATAGTGACACTGAAAGACCAAAATGAATGAATGCGTCTGTGCTGCGAAGAACGATTTTCAGCCACACCATCAATAGTCTCCAACCATTGGTTCTTAGCATCCCTAAGACCCCAGCCAGGCAATCTACACTTCTCTACTTGGTTGGCCCAAACCAACTATCAACGACTTAATGGACTAATACAACATTTTGGTTTGACTACCTCTAGCTCTTTTCCAACCTAATCCTACGACGGCTAACACTTCTCGTGGAGGATGGCATTGGCTCAATATGCGCAAAAAGTGCCCTAGGCATCTCAGTCGATGTAGCTTCACAGTTTTTTTGACCAACTTGCCCTCCTCTCAAATTATTACAAAAAAGAACAACTCAACTACAGGTGGAACTGACAAGAAAATCATAGCAAGAATCGGGAAAGCAAGAAAAGCTTTCACTACTCTCAAGTCTGTGTGGAGGTCAACGGCATTCAGCGTCAAAAATAAGATCCGGATTTTCAACTCCAATGTGAAGTCAGTCAGTGCTACTAAACGGATCAGAGACTTGCACTGCGCGTCATAAAGAGCATCTCAAACAAACTACAAACCCTCATTAACAGTTGTCTTCGCTCAATACTCAAGATCAGATGGCTGGCCAGAAAAGATCAGCAACAGAGAGGGATCTTTGGGAGCGAACCAACCAGGAACCGATTGTGAAACAAACAGGCAGGAAGAAATGGAGATGGATTGGCCATACTCTGAGGAAACCATCAAGTGACATCACTAGACAAGCCATTGCTCGAGTGGAATCCGAAAGGGAAGCGGCGAGTTGGTCGTCAGTGCAAGGGTGACTTGGAGGAGGTCATGTGAAGAGGAGATGAAGGCATGTGGGCAGACTTGAAGCCAGGTGAAAACTCTAGCAGAGAACCGAACACAATGGAGACGCACGGCTGAAGCCCTATGTTCCTCTAGGAATTAAAGGAAACAATAATAATAATACTACATTATAAAACCTAGACTAGATCCACACGACATGTGTCTCAGAGACACTGAAGACTGGAAAAGATAAACGAGACTGAGATGATTTTGTTAAATATGCTTTTATATTTCTTGAAACAAATAATTCAGTATGCATAATTAGCTCACATTATCGGTATATTAACATTAACAAGAATAGAGAAAACAACATTTAATTCTGTTCATTATTGAACCAGTTTCAAAGGTAACACAAAACTTTGAATACATATATATATATATATATATATATATATATATAATGTTGAGACAATTCTCAAGAAAAAACATTTGAAACTTCCATACAGGATATATATAATATCTAAAGGAAAAGGTACATCATTGGGCTTTTTTTTCCAGTTTCTTTATACATTGGACACATATTATATATATATATATATATATATATATATATATATATATATATATATATATATATATATGAGAGAGAGTGAGTGGTAAACTGACTGATTCACTTTTCTGAATGGTGATTAGTACTATTTATTTCACAATCATCTTGAAGTATACGATGGTAACCTTCTGTGGAGATTGCATCTAAATCATCGAAATTATTTGCTTCCCAATAAAGTAGTTTTTCAGCACCTGCAGAAACACAATACAGAACAGACGTAGGGAGAATTTTTAACATGTTCTGTGTAAAAATTTACCTGAGTTAAAAAACAGAATTTATCTATTTCAAATTGATATTGAAGCTTATACTGATGTACCATACAAACAAAACAAAGGAAGCAGCTAATATTGTCAAATGAGAACTGTCGTATTGGCAATATTTTGGATAAAATGATTACACACAGTGACACTGACAGTTAGTTATACTTTGGACACGTGATTTGCCTTTACTCTTTTTTCTACGTCTTAGAGTTCACTGTATGAAGGTGAAAGTACCACTACTTCGGGCTACGTTATAAGTAGAAACAGAAACAGAACTCATCGAGTAATTAATGGATCTTCTCAATTGCTCACGTTGATCCATAACAGATCGCTTTAATGAAATGTATATATCTGGCACAATACGTACAGAAGTGAAAATTATATTATTGCAATACGAAGTTAACTTAAATGAAAGATCGTTCTACTCGCATTGAATTAGACGACAGAACGTCTTGAATAAGTTCATTTGCTGAGTGCAGTAGCGTGAATACTATAAACTTCAACATAAACACATATTATTCTTTGATTGGACACTAGTAACTAGTGTGATGTGTTTAGTCCTTTATTTGGTGAAGACTGAATTCTGTCAGTCAGGTTTGCAATGTGGCCACCATTCTAGGTGGCTCGCCACCACAGTGCACTTTGATTTGATGATATTATACGGTTGGAGTCAATCGGCAGGAAGCCTTGCTTCACCTAGGTTTCGTGATAGTTGGCAGTCATCAGCAAGGGTGTTTGCAACCTTTAGGGAACTCATGTCCCTTCTGAGATTCGAACCCTAGTCACCCAGTGCTGCAGTCAGAGACGTTACCACTGAGCTATTCGGGCTCGTTATTGACTTCCTGTAGGACTGTTTTGGATACAAGGTTGCAAATACGCCTTGATGACGAGTACCAACTATCACGAAACCTAGGTGAAGCAAGGCTTCCTGCAGATCGCCTCCAACCATTTAACATATTATTCTGCCCAATTTGTTCTCCATTCAATTATCACGTACATCGAGGGAAAACAATTGTAAGACATCTGACGGTAAATACTATCATATTTATACATTCATTTTCAAATTTATGTGAAAATATTTTGAAATGTATTTCAGTAATGGTTAACTCATGACAATACAATTCGTGTATAACATCCTAGTATAAAACTCTTAGATTCTTTGATCATAAAAATATTACTACTGCCAATAATAACCACTCCTTAATTAACATGAACGTATAACTGCAGAACATGAGAAAGAAGGTATCAAAGGAATATTTCATCAATGTAAATTTCCTCAAGAACCCATATCAGTTAGCGAGTTAGTGAAATTTTAAAAGACTGATTACTGAACAAAGAATATTCTTTTCGATAACTTCATCAAACTCCACAGTTCCACTAGACTGGATTTGAAGCCTTGTATTTCCATGGTGGAGGATGGAATTAGATTCCTTGTCTGACTAAACAGGTTTTCAAATTGAATATTTGTATCTAAGTGATTAACTCGGTTGCGTCTGTCACAAAATCTCAGGCCAAGAGAAAGCACCTCGAGTCTCAATTTACTTAATTCAACACTACTATGATTGTGGACGTACTTTTTAGGATCTGCTGGAAATTTACTAGCCTCTGGCTTCCTTCTAAGTCCTTTCATAAGCTCTATCTGCTTCTTCTGTGCTCTTCGTTCACTAACTTGAGTAACGTATTCCACAAAAGGCGTTCTAAGGTCTTCTGGTAGTTCGTCTACTGCATATTGTCTGCGGGCGATGTTCATTTCATTCTCTTGTATATATGCAGAAAAAGAGTGTGTTGGTTTAATGCATTTCGTTTCAACGTTTTCTTATTGGGATGAACTCTGCTTCGACTCAGAGATTTGTAATAAACTTTAGGATATTGATATGATTCGTTGTAACTGTTAATGAAGTCTAACATTTTTTTCACAGAGCTTAGCGTTATATTTCAGGTACTCATTGAGAATCTTCAACGCTACAGACTGCTCACAACATTTCAGGCGATTGAAAATGCCCATTGTCTCAACTACAGGAGGAACGGACGAGGATGTCAAATCGAGAATCGGGAAGGCGAGAAACACATTCACCAACCTGAAACCAATCTGGAAATCTTCATCACTCAACTCAGCATCAACAACAAAATTCGGATTTTCAATACAAACGTCAAGTCAGTCAGTTCTTCTATACGGATCAGAAACTTGGTGGGTCACAAAGAATATTTACAACAGCCTGTTGCAAACCTTTATCAACAGCTGTCTTCCCTCTGTACTGAAGATCAGATGGCCGGAAAGAATCACAAACAAGAAGCTATGGGAACAATCAAAACAGGAACCAATCGCCCAACAAATATGCAGGAGAAAGTGGAGATGGATTGGACACTCATTGAGGAGGCCGCTGGGTGACATCGCGCGTCAGACCCTCGAGTGGAACCCGAAAAATAAGCTGTGAGTGGGACGTCCAAGGGTGATATGGAGGAGATCGTGTGAAGAGGAGTTGAAACAGTATGGACTAAGATGGATGCAAGTGAAAAGTACAGGAGAAGACAGAAGCAAGTGGAGACGTGTAGTTGAAACCCTATGTTCCACTAGGAACCTAAGGGAACAATAATAATATAATAATTAGAAATTTTGAAAAGACTGATTACTGAACAAAGAATACTCTTTTAGATAACTTCATTAGGTTCTACAGTTCCACTAAGCCTGATTTGAAGATATTCAGATATTCATTTTGAAAAGTTGTTTAGTCAGACAAGGAATCTAGTTCCATCCTCCACCATGGAACTACAACGCTTCAAATCCAGTCTAATGGAACTATGGAGTTTGATGAAGTTATCGAAAAGAATATTCTTTGTTCAGTAATCAGTCTTTTGAAATTTCTAATGGGCATTTTTGACCAACTGAATCAGTGAAACCAGGGAGCACTGGACAGCCATTTCATCTTAGTTTGAGGCTCTTTAGCAGTGAGAACCCATGACTTCACCACAGATCGAACCGAGAACTTCCATATTACAAGAACAGCTCATTGACCATTCGGCTACTGAATAGGAATTCGATGACCCGTGAATTTTAACTCTTATCAACTCATAATATAGCACTAAGGCCAATCAGTGCTGTAGATGAGCATTCATGTCATCTGAAACTGTTAACTGTAATGGACACAAATTCTCACTAGAACTCTACGACATCCATCCAGTAGGCAGTAGTGACCTGGAGATTGATATTCAGATTTTGGGCTTGGTGGAGATGTTAATCGCGACAGATAGATAGACTGTATGATAAACAGCCAATCAATAATATGTGACCTTTCTTGTCGCGATTATTGGCCAATTTATTGTTACTCTCACCACGTGATGACCTTGAATGTTCTTTTTTGTCTGTCACTTTACTTGTATATACATGTAATTAACTGACTGTTCATTTTGTCCGTACCTTCAATACTGTCCGGTACGTTTTTGTCCTATTTTTTGTGATGACAATGGATTTGTACATTTTTCTTGGTGTAATGGTATGATTTATTTTATGTTTTAGAAACAGATAAAGTTAAAGTCAAGTTATTCTGTTTTAACTATTGCTAAGCCCAGACTCTGTGTTGTCAGTATTGAGGGAGGACTAAATCTGTAGGATAAAAAATAATCCTACAAAGTTTCGGACAGTATGTCAGATGAAAGTTATGAAACTATGCCGTCGTTAACTCCACAATTAGGAAAGAGTAATGAAGCTGATTTCCTTGGAAGCAACGAGTATGAATCACGCTATATGGTAGAATTGGAGCTAGCGAAATTGCGCATAGTCCAAAAGGAGAAAGAAATGGAATTAGAAAGATTACGACAAGGTAGACGCGAATGTTCTTGTCACAATAAATCGCCTTACAAACCTTCTACTTCTCATAAAGTCTCTGTATCTCCTAATGATGAGTCCGCCAAAACCATATCTAAGTTTCTGGACATGCTTAAAGCATATCAATATTTTAAGTGGAATGCCGATGAACTTGAGTGTTGGATCAATGAAAAACTGCAAACATATACAAATGAGGATTTTAATGAACTCAGTAATCTTCAGCTGAAAAAACAGAAACATCAAGAGTTTGAGTTCGAAGTAACAGTTCATGCTGAAACACTCTCAGCTCTAGATTCTACGGGAGAAGAAATGATTGGTCAGGGACACTTCGCAACAGATATTATCAAAAACCGTCTTGATGAATTGCATGCCCTGTGGGAAAGGCTTATGGCTATTTTCAGAGAAAAATCACGTCTTATTAACCTAACGCTTAAATTTGTCCAGTTTTCAAGCCAAGTCGATGAGATACTTTTCTGGATACGTGAAAGAGAAACTTACGTAACATCAGAGGTTTTAGGTCAAGACTTGGAAGATGTTGAGACACTTCAAAAAGGGTTTAATGAGTTTACAAAGGATCTCGAGAATCAAGAAAGTCGTGTCGAAGACATCTATCGGAAGGCAGATGAACTTCTAAAAGAGAAATTTCCTGAGGATGCCCTAGTCATAGAAAAGTTCAGACAGGTCCGCGAAGCTCTAGAACGTCTGAAGGATCTGGTTAGAAAACGACAAGAAAAGCTCCTGGAAGCCTATGAGATACAGTGCTTCTTTAGAAACATAGATAGAGCTATATCGTGGGTGAATGAAAAGTCTATTCCCTTATCCATTGAGGACTGTGGTCGTGATCTTGCCTCAGTCCAAGCCTTACAAATGAAGCACGAAGCATTAGAAAGGGATTTGACTGCTCCAGATGAAAAGATTGTTCAACTTGGAGATGATGCTAAGGCGCTTGCACAGAAGCATCCTGATTCGCTAGACACTATACAAGGCAAGTATGACGAACTAATTACTGCATGGGATAAGCTGAAAAGTCAGGCTGTAGATAGGAGAGGTAAACTGGAAGAGTCATTCAAGATGCATCGCTTTTTGGCTGACTGGAGAGACTTGAGTATCTGGATGAATGACATGAAGACGTTAATATCGGCGGATGATTTGACAAAGGATGTAGCTGGTGCTGAAGCCCAAGTAGAGCGACATAAGGAATACACCACTGAGATAAATTCTCGAGCTGACAGTTTCGATACATGCATGCAAGAAGGGCAGGCATTACTAAGTGTTGGCCATCCCTGTAGTGAAGACATAGCTGCTAAACTTTACACCCTTGAAAGAGAGAGAGCCTCCCTGATGCAGTTGTGTGAGGAAAGACGTGAACAGCTAGAACAGTGTATGGGCCTTCAGTATTTTTACCGCGACGCTGAACAGTCGGAATCTTGGATTGGTAAGCAAGAGGCCCTCTTAGAAATAAATGATGTGGGAGACTCACTCGATTCTGTGGAAGCACTTATAAGGAAACATGAAGACTTCGTAAAGTCACTTTTAGCACAAGAAGAAAAGATGCGACAACTTGATGAATTCGCTGCAGAATTAATCGAATCAAACCACTATGCGGCTGCACAGGTTGATGAGATTCAGGAAGGTCTTCAAAGTAGACGAAATGCGTTAAAGGAGAAAGCTCAGAACCGCCGTCAGCGTCTTGAAGATTCCCACCGTTACCAAATGTTCGATAGAGATGCAGATGAAATGCAGTCATGGATATCAGGAAGACTTAAAAATGCACTTGATGAAAGTTACAAAGAGTCCACGAACTTGCGAACAAAGGTGCAGAAGCATCAGATTTTTGAGACAGAAATACAAGCGAACCAATCCCGCTTTGAAGGTATTAAAAAGACAGGTCAGGATTTGTTAATTGCAAACCACTACAACTCACAAGAATTAAAGGTAAAGATTGAACAGTTGGATGAAACTTGGTCTCATCTCATAAATGCCGTGAGAGACAAGAAGAAAAATTTAGATCAAGCAAGTAGGCAACAACAGTTCGCTCACAACATAGAAGATGTCGAGTTATGGTTGAATGATGTTGAAGCTCAGATAGCCTCAGAGGATGTCGGTCATGATCTAACCGGTGTGATGAAGGCACAAAAGCGGCACAACTTGCTTGAATCTGATGAAGCTACTCATCGTGAACGTATAGATACATTCAAAGTCCAGGCTGACACGCTTGCTGCAGAAAGTCATTTCGACGCTCCTATTATCCAAGAAAAACAAAGGCAGTTAGCCCAACGTTACCATGACCTGCAAATCCCTCTAAGTCAACGTCGTGAGAAGTTAAGAGATGCCCTTCCCTCAGACACATCTTTGCAGCCTGAATATGGTGACTATAGTGAGCTGATGAAGTTACTAGTCGATTGTTGTAAAGATTTTAAAGCATATTCGCTTAACCAAATCGAATCAGAAATGTGGCATCAGTTTGCTGAAAGCTTCACTACTGGCTCAGTAGCCACTCACAAAGATGCCTTCAGGTTATGGGTTAAAGATAAGAACCCTGTTGTTGAAAAGTATATTGGGTTTATAGAGTCATACCGTGATCCCTTTGGTGTTCGTGCAAGGTTTGAATCATTTGTCGCTGTTGTAAATAGATCAGTGTCTAAAAAATTCCAACGACTTGTGAATAATGCTGAAAGGTTGTTAACAAATTTACCATGGCCTTCTACATTTGAAAAAGTTAATTTCTTACAGCCAGACCTTACTAGTTTGGATGTAGTTACGTTTGAAACTTCTGGAATTCCTGTTGGAACTAATATTCCTAACTATGATGATGTACGACATGTTGATGGATTTAAAAATGTTTCTTTGAATAATGTACTTAGTGTTCGTCTCGAGGATCCTAAACCAGAATTTCTACGTAATGAAGACAAACAAATGTACGTGGAACATGCTGAAAGTTCCTTTGAATTACAAGTTGGACTTCATGAACTGATGGGATATGGTTCGGGTAAACTGTTTTGGTGTGATTGTTATGGAAAACGAAATTTCCACACGAAAACTACTGAATATGTCATAAATGCAGATCCTGTAAAAGGTTGGTATGAACCAAGAGAAACGTATGACAGCAAGTTTCCAAACCTTCCATCTGCAATAGATAAGTGTCGAGCTGAGTGTGTTGGAATTTATTTATCTGATTTACCTCTTGTTCTGGAGCAGTTCGGTTTGAATACCAACTGTGCTCAAGGCGATGTCCCAGATGCAGTCTATATTAATTGGTTGTCAATGATTCCTTCAGTTGTAACTTCCATTGAGTTTTATTCTCCAACAGAAAATGCTGTTGACATTGGATCATGGTGTCAAGCACATTATTGTGCTCGTTATGCGATTCTGCAAGTTTTGATTGAAGCTGACGATTCTATGGGACGTACACATAAAGTAGTCGGTGAGGACGATGCATCTGATTTGTGTATTTCCTTAGTTCCAAAAAGGCTTTTAACTGCGGCTCGTTCAGCAATTGGTGAATTCTTACGGAAATTACAATATTACAAAGGTAAAGCGAATGCTATGTATGGATATGCTTTCTCCCAACACTATAGTCAACTACTTCCAAAATATTTGACTGATTTGCTCTGGCATAAATGGCTACGTGGATATCTTCTGATGCTGCAAACAAGATCTAAGTGGTTGGATATAAAGCACAACCTACAACCTGATGATCTCGTCTTAGTTAACAGTGCTGACACACAGAGAGGTCTCTGGCGAAAGGCTATAGTTAAGCAGATGTACTATGACCAAGATGGCCACGTCAGGACACTGTGTTTGAAAACTTCAACTCAAGAAGTGGAACAAGATATAAGAAGCGTACGAAAGGTCAACGTGGTGGTCGTTCGCGGGGAGTGTTAATCGCGACAGATAGATAGACTGTATGATAAACAGCCAATCAATAATATGTGACCTTTCTTGTCGCGATTATTGGCCAATTTATTGTTACTCTCACCACGTGATGACCTTGAATGTTCTTTTTTGTCTGTCACTTTACTTGTATATACATGTAATTAACTGACTGTTCATTTTGTCCGTACCTTCAATACTGTCCGGTACGTTTTTGTCCTATTTTTTGTGATGACAATGGATTTGTACATTTTTCTTGGTGTAATGGTATGATTTATTTTATGTTTTAGAAACAGATAAAGTTAAAGTCAAGTTATTCTGTTTTAACTATTGCTAAGCCCAGACTCTGTGTTGTCAGTATTGAGGGAGGACTAAATCTGTAGGATAAAAAATAATCCTACAGGAGATTTGGATTAATTTCAATGTTTTCTTTTTTATTAATTAGTATTTGGTAGAATTGAACAAATGACAAAACAGTGGAAACCTTTAAACAACGCATATAAGCATAGAATAGTGTTATTGATGACAGAGACCTTCAAGTGGGGTGACACACTTATCAAGTGCAGTTCCAAAAGATGAAGCAGTGTTACTATGCGATTTAGTCTGCAAAATGATGATAATAATAATAAATTTCTGCAAACAGTATGTTTCAAACTATCATAAAACTCACCAACAGATCTGAATCGCTTCTTTTTATGACGAAATATTCTGAAAAGGCCTAAATTAGAAGCGTCTGAACGGCGTGGCTGACTTAGCGCTGTAAAAGTACCAGGACTATCTGGAAATATAAATAAAACATATATTCAAAAATTATAGATTTCTATAAAACAGTGATAATGAAGACATAACCAATTCAAAGAAAATTATTGTGAACTATTGGTAACATCGCATACTAAATATTTCTCTGTAAGGGTGCACTTTCTAAATAAAATAATAGTGTAATCTTCATTAGATCATTACACTCGCTTTTTTTCAAAAAAGGCTTACTATGAAACTCCATTATAGATAAGATTTTATTTTGATAAATCACACAGTGTGTGTGATCACTGTGTGATTTATCAAAATAAAATTTTATCTATAGTGGAGTTATACTCTACCACAGTGCCCAAGTTTTATACTTATATTACTATGATACTTATTAGACTCATTCTTAAGTTTAAAATGAACAGAATTCTGACAGTTTAGAAAATACAATGAGTGAGTATATTAGTTGGTAGGATTTATATACAATATAATTTACTGCATCAACCTTTTACTCAGAGACGCAGACACTACACTGAGATGGTTAGGACATGTGTTACGTATGCCTAGTCATCGCCTTCCTCGACGGGCAATGTTAGCTGATATAGGGTCAGGCTGGAAAAGAGCTAGCGGCGGTCAAACGAAAACATGGAACCAGTCAATGAAATCCACAACAGTTAGTCTAGGCCACGTAGGGACGGTAAAAACCAATGGGCAAAGTTAAACTTTAAGCACCAGTAACTACCAATCAGCAAACGACCTTGAACGGACCAATCACATGAAAGAGGCGTTTATGATAAGTGGTAATGTATATTCATATAAAAATACATAAAATATAGGATAAGACAGTTACAACGGGTATCTTTCACGGACATGAGACAAAAACATTTCCCAATTCAGCATCGGACTGTCAATAGAAAAGTCACACCACATTCTGTACATATATTCATCTAAATGACTATAAATGAGATCCTTTTGGGATCCATTTATAGCCCTTATCCGATTTTTCAACCGGCCCCAAAATCCTTCAATAGAATTTGTATGAGTTCCGGTAACTGGATCCACGAAATCGTTTGAATGGTTCACTCGGTGATGACTATATCCCAAGGATGAAAGGGAATTGTAACCTTTCCACTCATCCGTGTGTATAATTGAACCGCGTTTGACGAGTCTCGTTATTATAGGTATTAACGTTGTCGCCTTTCTATCTCGTATTCTTTCAACGAATCCCTTTCGGAGGGAAGTATCGTATTAACCTATCACCCAGATATTATTCGCACGCTGGCGACCACGGTTGTATTTCTTTTTCAGCAATACAGTTTCATCCACGTGCACAACAACGTCTTCTCCGCCCAACAACGAAGTGATCTTCTCCATTTTCCAGGATGCAATATCTCTGCAATGCTGGTACCATTGAACTGTTGAGACGAGGCTGTTCTCCGTCTCCGCAGCAGCTGCTCTCACTGGCTGTTTTAATACCCAGTAGTTGCAGATATATAAAATTTGCGTCAAGGAGAGGTGTGACCTTGCAAAAAAAGTTCCTACGAAATATTAAAATTATCAACTTACCTTCTCTAATGCTAATACGCTTGGAGCATATACCACAACGATGAATAAATCCATCAATTGCCCTACTATAGCTTTTTAAGGTCATTATACCGCCACACGAACAACTTCGCTCCTTCCGCAGCAACCCTAAATCCAGACAATACTGGAAAACAGTATCCTCCTCGAATTGCAAACGTAACCTTGTAAGGGCTCGCATTTGAAATGAATCAACCGCTATACAACATTGAACTACGTTCGTGAATCTCATTGGATAAATCGACGTCGTTCGGTGATTGGTAGTTACTGGTGCTTAAAGTTTAACTTGGCCAACCAATGGTTGGAAACAATTGGTGACATGGCTCAAAATCGTTCTCAGTGGCGCAGATGCATCCACTCCTTGTGACTCATGATTTCCAATGAAATTGTTTTGTTCTTCGTTATTACTATTCCTTTGTCTCACACCTCTGTTTACTGTCTCTAATATGCATTTCTCCTACTTTCTTCTCTTGCTTTGTGTGCTACAAGGAGGGAGTGTGGCGACTTGAACTGCCGCACATCGGTGCAAAGTTCTATGTCAAAAACAGACAGACAGACAGACACTACTCAGTACGGATGCAGTATTAGCTTAGAATTCTCAGTGAAAATGAAAGTAGATTAAATATTTCCACTTGTGACTGTATCTAATACTTCAAACGGATTTGTAAGAGCGAAAACTAGCATAAAATAATAGAAATCCAGTATGTATCTACGACTCCGCTATGTACAATGGTGTTCACCTTTGTAGACCTTATCTTGCATGATGGTGATTTCAGAATATGTCCCATCTTCATATCCCATCTCTCAGTACATAACAATTTCAATTTATCATTGTTGAAGTGCACCAAATTTCTATAGCCTATTTCAGTTTACTGAAAATAAGCATAATAGTATAATTCAATACTGTAAATAACATTTATCTTCTGACAAGTTCCCTCATTGTATCACTGTGCGTTGTATCAAGTAAACTTATCTAACATGGAATTATATTCTACCACAGTGCCCTAATCATTTGGTTATTATGCAATGGCCCAGTAAATTTATACCTATTTACAAGTCGTTTCCATGTCAATGTTTGTACTATCTCGAAAATTGAGAAAATATCATTTTTACCATTAATCCTTTATCAATGTTCTTAATATTTCTACCCTAATGATTGAAAATTTCATGATTAAAAAAAACTGTACTTTGACACAGAAGAATCTAGAGATGGCATGGAGTTGCAGAAAAAAGTAAATATTAGAAATTCACTGGATTCTACCCAATTTATCCGTTTTTCTTTGTTTGGATTTATTCAAGAAATGAGTAATAGTAACATTGCGTCGGTTGTTGAGTGATAGAATACTCGCACACTTCATCTGGATTTAATTCCCAACCGATGCACCCCTAAACCTCGCTTAACCAGTAGTAAGCTCAATAAAAAAGGAAGGTTGAGTGTAAAAGCAATACCACTACTGCTGAAAGTCCAAAGCTCAAGCTTGAAGCCCTATGTTCTACTCGGAACGCAAAGGAATAAAAATAAATAATTGCATTATTATAAATTTAACTGTCCTCATATTTTAGCAGTAAATGTTGTTTATGAAATAATGCATAACAGACTAACTATCGATTCAGGAATTACTTACCAGCAGCAATATAAGTAGGCGGTGGTACAAAATGTACAGGAGGACCGAAAGATGTTGTATGAGGTGGAACAGAAGGTGAATCATCGGATGCTTCTAATTTACTATCTCTTCTAGACAATAGATCTGAAACTGTAGAACCAGAAAGGTGTGCAGAATCTGAATCAACAGCTGTCTGAGGTTTCCAACTACCAGTTGCTCCGATAACAGCCATAGCAGAAGCAAGAGCAGCTGCAGTAGGCGCTGTTGTTGAATCTGAAGCCAAAGAGCTAAGACCTGCTACGACACCTGCAAGCTGACGTGACGGACCAAGTAATGCCAAAGAACTAACGTTGCTACAACTACCCATCGGTTCATCTGTTGCTCCACGTTTCCCATGACGTAAGACACCTGAACTTAAAATACGAGTTGACTTCAAACGACTAGCCAGTGAATGGGCTCTTGATGTTACAGCTGGACTGCCTGAACTAACTGGTGAATCAGTTCTATGTGAATCACTAATTAAATCTGAATTATTGTTAGAATTTGTTGATGTAACTCCAAGTAAAGCCGAACGCTTACATAAAGCGTCACTTTGTTTCGAATCTACCAAAGAAGGAAGTAAAAATAAGGCAAGTTTTTAAAGTATATTTAACAAAAGAGTACCACAGATATTATTATGACGCATAAAACCCAGTTTATTTCGCAATTACATTAGGCCTGAATAATTTTCTTGACAATATTACTTTCATGTAGTTAATATTTTAAATGAAAACTGGAGCAAGTACATAACAGCGGTTATGACTCTCGCCGACCCATGTACATGGTCCGGGGTTCGATCCCCTGCGGACGTGGACCTGATATCTATGGTCAGCCTGCAAAATTTGGACTACCGATATCCATGCTGATAATTCCATACTTGTACTGAATACACGGTGTGGCATCAAGCTGTAATCAAAAATAATTTTTTTTTTAAATAAGTCAAACAAGTATGCCATTGCACTTAACCAAACATAACATTACTTGAGAGACACAGGAACAGTCAAATTGTCTAACAGCTGTAATGGTATCCAGTCACGCTGCACATACATTTATGTAACAGGTGAACGTCTTTTGTTTTATGCCTTATAAAACTACTTCGACGCTCAGGGAGAAGCAGGTAGAGTTGAATTTAAATTCAGGACCCAGTGGCTAAAAGTCAGATTCAGTGAGTGATGCCTTCAAACGCATTGGTGCTATCTACTGATCTTGAACAATTAGGCTATAATTGAACTTATTGACCCATTAGGTGAATGAAACACAGTGATGAATTAAATAAAACAAGTAACCACTACACTTTCACTGCATGGTATTTCCCTAATAAATATGCTAGCATTTGCATAAAATTTACATGTAATCAACTGTCAAAGTAAAAGTGAATACGATTCAGACTATGAAATGGATTCGAAAAGCAAAATTAGTTTAGTATAAGTTAAGACTTTGCATAAATATTTTTGAGAAGCATATATATTATTATAATCTTCACTCACCTGCTTTACTTCCAAAAAATACGTTTACTTCATCTGAAGTGTTCTAAAACAAAACCATCAAGGAAACATTGGATAAGATGAAATCAAATATACGACAAAACTTAGTATAACATGCAAACTTGATATGTGCCGTGTTCACAAACAAAAGGAATTACAGATAACAGACTCCATGGGTTTAAATACTTACACATTCTTAATAATTGAAGTCTGTCTCGTAATTAATCATATCCTTAACAACCTAATAACATTTTCTTTATTATGAAATTTCTACATTCATATAGGGCAAACAACACTATACTTCAGAATAAACGCGGGAAGAATGGAAGGAGAAATTTTCCTATCATTGAAACGTATCTTTACCATTCACAGTGAACAGCTTTTACAGATAGGCGAGATTACTCTTCAGATCAGAAGTATAAGTTAGAGACAAGTGACACAGAATAACTGATTATTCTCTAAGTTGACTTAATGATGAGAAAGCTAAAAGACTGTATGTTAACGAGATACATAAAGTTTTAAGGCGACAAAAATAGAAGCCATTTTAGCAGTTAAATTCATTATAGACATTGTCATCTACAAACGGCACATTGGGATTGAAAGTACTAATTCAGAGAAATATTGTGTAACTAAGGATTTTAGTATGAGTTGGTTAGTCCTATGAAATTTATCCCTCATAAGCTTTGTTCACAAAACTTATATAAGAACTTTACCGACTTTGACCATGGGTCGATATCAGTTAGAGAACCATTGGAAATCAGGGTCTACGGGACAGCAGTTTCATCCCATTTTGGGAATCATCGGCAGTACGCACCCACTGGGGTTCGAATCCAGGATCTTCAGGTTACAAGGCAAGCTGGTATACCATTCAGCCACTAGGACCCGATTCAATAGCCAACCCATGAATTCTAACTTCTACCAGTTCGTGATTTAGCGCTACCACCAAAAAGTGGGTGAGTACTGCCGATGATCCCCAAACTAGGATGAAACAGCTGTCCAGTAGTCCCTGGTTTCCAATGGTTCTCTAACTGATATCAATCCGTGGTCAAACTTGAAAAACAAACCTAATCCTTACAAATCAACTTCTGAAAAATAAGAACTTTTGCTTAAAATATCACTAATTCCTACATGGTGGTTAAACTTGGTGGCTCAATGACATATAAGTAATCGTACTCAGGACTTTCTGATATTATCATCCTTAAATAACTGTTTTATAGTCAAGTGGAAAGATAGAATGCACTAACAAACAATATATATGCTTAGTTCTACATCATTGCTTTTTAGTACCAAGTTTGATCACGGCATGACTTCAGTTAGAGAACCAGAGAATACTGGGCAGTTGTTTCTTCCTAGTTTGGGACTCCTGTGCAGTACGCACCCATGACCCTACCAGATGTCGGAACCAGGACCTTTAGTTTACGAGGTGAGTTCGTTGACTATTCAGCCACTAGGAGGGAATCCAATGGCACATGAATTCTCACTTCTGTCAATTCGCGATTGCTTTTTGATTAATATGTGTCACACTTCAATTATTCAAATGCCAATCAACTCTATATGCAATGGGATAACACACCTAGATCGATGATCAGATCCTAAGTACTCTGAAGATAAGAATCAAAGAAAGAAATATATAGTTATATACTGTTTTATTTCCTTTTGATCTTTTTTTCAATTTTTTTCAACATAAGTTTATGTATACAGAGGGAAAATAGTGAGTAAAAAAAAGTCAAAGATTTAAAATATGAAAAAAGAAAAGTGTCGGAAGTTAAATAATAGTGGAAATTACCCTCCTTATGCGTATGACATAATAAAACTAAATTTTCCTGCTTATCTTGCACTAGATAATGTGTGCATTAGAATTATTATCATCAATATGATAATGATATCCATTCAATATCAGTATTAACACCTCCTTAGAATATGCACTATTGTTGTTTTGTTTCTTTTACTGTTCTTGAACAGCTGCATGCACTGTTGTATGATAAAAGCTTATAACTAACATGGATCGATAAGGGAATGCAGCACAAATCGAATGTACAGATATATACATACATACATACATAACATGTATACATATACAAGCCCACATGCTATAGAGGAGAAGGAAAACACTTTAGAATGTACAATCTAGAAGCAACCTTAAAGCAGAAGGAGAAGAAAAAAGCATTTAATATGTCAGCTATGCTATGTATGTGCTTCATGTAAATATATCAATATGTTCGCATAAGAACGTTAAATGCGCACGCACACACACACATACACACACAAACGCATACACACGCACACAAATGCTTGTGTCTAAATGATTAAAAACAGAAGGTGAAAACACAGAAGAGGCCAAAATCAAACTGATCAATATTATTCGTCAAGTAGGGAAAAAACAGTCAATTTAGCCATGTTGTAAGCGTTTAATCTACCAATTTTTATATAAGGCGAATTTGGAAAAGAGAAAATCAAAAAGCATCATCCATCACCATTTGTAATAAGGAAAGGAGTGGAAGTGATTTTTGTGAAAGCTTTGAATAAGCTGAATTTCAATGAAAAAGAACTATGAAGATAAATGTCCACAAAGAATAATTTCCTTTAAAAAAAACAAAAAGTTGAAAGGCTTTTCGGTGTACCAGGGATAACAAACTTATGAAGTAAAGAGGCAAAAACAAAAAAAAATAGTAAGTAGGATGCAGAAATGAAACGACACAAGATGACAGCATACATAACACATGTTGGCTTTCATCAAAGTAGTAAAGTAGTAATAGTAAAGTAATAGAAGTAATATTTCTACCGTCATCATACAGACTTGTTACGGTTATAATAACAGGATATTTTTCTTAACATGAGAGAATCAGCAGGTGCTATTAATGACAGCGTTTACAGAATTTATCCCATGAGATTTCAATAAGGATGTTGTTCCATTCATTAGTGAAAAAACTAGGATGGTAGACTATGAAGACAAACCTAACTTAGATAACTTATCAAAAACAAGGAGTGACTTGATGGTTGTATTTCAACTGTTCAGCAGAAAAAGTTCACCAGCTTAAGCTGGTTTGAAAAATGTTTGTTTGGTGAAACTAGTTTTATACCCTTAATGTGTTAGTGCAGTATTGAATGCCTTAAAGGATTGGTCATCGCTGCTTTTCATGGACTAAGACAATCAATACAAGTTACCCACTCAGACAGATTACAGATCTCATAGTTTAATCTTTCAAAATCAGTACGTGTGTTGTTAACTTATGCATGAATTTGATAGAATCCTATTTCGTTAAGATCTAATCTGTAGAAATTTCTAAAGGGTAGCATTATTTGCTGTTCTGTAGTAATCACAAGGGGCATAAATTCCATCATAACTTAGCTTTCCTACTTCAAGTAACACTTTTCTCCCACTAAAATGGTGGTTTTTAATGTTCACTACGTGTCTTTCAGCCACGTCATCAGTATATTAACCAATTCAGTCATTATCTCACTTATCCCTCTATGTCTCAGCAGAGCATTTAATCCACTCAATATGATTGAATCACAAGTGAGTAGTCCTACGGAAACGCTCATGGTTTCAAATCTCTCTTATACATTATATTTCATGGTGGCAGAAAGCTACATGTGTGAATGACTCCCTAACCTGACGTTAGTCCTCTTGCGCCTGATTGAAAAAATAAAATTATGGTAGTTACCTTCCATAGATAATTTCTTTCACTATGCAGAACAAGTTAAATAGTAATAAATACTATAAGAAACTAATTGTGGTGGACTGGATTATGCGTCAAACAGTGGGAAACGAGAAGACAGGGATATCCTCGACCGACAAGGAGAACCTAGAAGACCTGGATTTCGCGGATGATTTATGTTTGATGTCATACAAAATCGAAGACTTACAAGCGAAAACCAACAAACTGGTCGAAGAATCAGCGGAAGACAGGATTCCAGGTGAACATAGACAAGACGGAGGTTATGAAAATAACCAACCAACGACAACAACAACAGCAGCAACATCCAGCGCCAATCACCATCAACGGGAGGGATTTGAAAGAGGTTACTTCATTCACTCATCTAGGGAGCATTGTCTCAACTACACGAGGAACGGACGAGGATGTCAAATCGAGCGAGAATCGGGAAGGCGAGAAACATATTCATCAACCTGGAACCAATTTGGTAAATCTTCGTCACTCAGCCTGCATCAACAACAAATTTCGGATTTTCAATACAAACGTCAAGTCAGTCAGTTCTTCTATACGGATCAGAAACTTGGCGAGTCACCAAGAATATTTCCAACAGGTTGCAGACCTTTATCAACAGCTGTCTTCGCTCTCTACTGAAGATCAGATGGCCGGAAAGAATCACCAACAAGAAACTATGGGAACAAACAAAACAAGAACCAATCGCCAACACAAATATGCAGGAGAAAGTGGAGATGGATTGGACACTCGCTGAGGAGGCCGTTGGGTGACATCGCGCATCAGACCACGCTCGAGTGGAACCCGAAAGGGAAGCGGTGAGTGGGACGTCCAAGGGTGACATGGAGGAGATCGTGTGAAGAGGAGTTGAAACAGTATGGATTAACATGGACGTAGGTGAAAAGTACAGCAGAAGACAGAAGCAAGTTGAGACGTGCAGTTGAAGCCCTATGTTCCATTAGGAACCTAAGGGAACAATAATAATAAGAAGAAACTGATTTATGAAAAAGGATAACTGAAGAGATGCTATCTTCTTTTATTTTCTGAAGAAAGCCTCAGAAGAATACTAGTTTCCTAAGTTAGATTACTTAGATGGCATTCAGATGAATATATTATTATGACTACAATATGAAGCATTGCAAACACGGTTACACTAAAATCTCGCCTAATAATTTAAAATGAATACTCACATGATCATGCTGCACTGCATGCGCTGACAGAAATCAATCAGACATGCAGAACATTTCACTGTTCATAGGTTTTAAAAATATAAGCACGGAGATGCAACTCACTGGCGATTTCGTATTAGTGTCTGCGATATCAAATTTATGGGAGAAAAAGGTGTTGATTTTGATATTTAAGTAGTTTATAGATTTTATTGTTTGTCAATACTGCATTTAAAAAAAAACAAGCATTTATCTTCTTACCTGATTCAGTCTGTCCTTGATGTGTATGCTGTTCATTGGAAGAAACGGATTCTTTAAACTGCTCATTTACTTCACATAATGAATCATGACCATCAGAACTAGTTTCTGATAGCTTTGTTGTGTCATAAATCAACGGGGAATATGGTATAGTAGCATGTTCTTCATCTGCACCACGAATAGGAACTAATTCACTATGTCGCTGACTAGATATAGGAGAAGAAGTGTTTCCAGGTTTTAGTGAAGCAGTAAACTTCAGCTCATTATTTCCGTCTTTCAATGATCTTCTTATAAAATCTTTATCTTTTGAAGTCGTGAAATTGTCAACTTCTTCTCCAGAATCCGTTTGAATATGTTCAGTTACAGAGTGCATAGTATGTTCAATAGTAATCCTATTGTGTGCTGAAGATGTAGATTTATTATTTGAAAATTCTAATGAAGGGGAATGTGAAAAAGCACCACTGTGATCTGTTGAATGATGTTCTTGGCTGATATTTTGTGTACCAGTAGACTGTGAGACTTTCGATGTAGGAACACGTTGCATTTGTGAAGAACTAGAAGATGGACGAGGACGGAAATCTTCAGTAGCCTTCTCCATGAAATTAAACTATTAAAAAACACAAATTTGTTCATTAAGAAATTTGAATATTTATTTTAGACTAAAAACTTGACAATAAAATTTGAATAAATAATACCACCTGTGAAATGAAAACACGAAACTAGTGAATTCAACACCTTTCTGTAGGTACATAACTAGTTTCTAACCATCAGAATATGGCATTTACCTACATGAGAAAAACTCTGAACAATAGTACCGCCAAAGATCCATCCTGATGATTATAAAGCGAAAATTTAGGATATGTATACAATAGTGGAAATACGATGATTTTTTTCATGCCTTGTAAATAGCTGATAGTATATATTTCAATATGATTTACCATTCCACTAGGCTTTCGACAATTCAGATGTGGATGTGAAAACCATTGTGACTGTAAAATATCACACACCTTCCATAATTTTCCATATCTGTTTTTAAAATATCCAATACAACTTCATAATTAGGAAGGTATTGAAACGTTATAAACGTTATTAATCAGTTGGTTTTCTAGAAACATATCAGTGATAAGAGATAGACTATTTTGTAACTTTAAGATAGTTTCGCATCACAAACAATAAACTGTTGGAGGAAATATTTACAAACTAAAACTTAATTTTCAAAAGAATGGATACTGAACAAAGAATAATCTTTTCGATAACTTCATCATCAGGCTCTACAGTTATATATACATTATAGTGAATGAATGAATTAGTGTTATGAACAACATTAATGCTGTTTAAATAACATCGAATCAGTAATAACATCAATGGATTACAGTTCAATAGCATCAACATAACAATAAACTGAATGTCAGAAAAATTAGGCAAGATAATAATAAAAATTCATGAATTTATAGTCTCTACTGAAGGCTGGCCAAGGCAGTGGTAAGTGCTGAAGTTGCTTCCTTTGCACACAGAGCACTGGTTGTTTGAGGCGAATTGCAATAGCCCTTGCTGTTTGGAGCATGAGTTGCTTAGATGATTTTGGCAATTTATTAGGCACCCGGTAGATGATAGAGAAGGATTCTTCAGTGCTGGCTTTGTGGCCTGTTTGCACCAGATGGTTCAATATCGAGCTGTTAATAGTTGTAACTACACCTTTACTTAGCCATAGTGGGATATGTTCTCGAGCACGAAAAATCATGGTCCTAGAGCAAGTTATATCGGCCGTTGCTCTAGGAACTTGATTTTTCGATGCAATTACTCACTGACAAATTCATGTTGAATAATTTGCTAATAATAATACAATAAAACGTATTACTGATTGACGTGATTAGTTTTAAAACCTCTAACATCAATAAATAACTCTTGTTAGTTAGAAGACAGCTTACCCAGAATGATTTAGCCTAGATAATCAGATAGTTTATTCTAGGACCTATTGGTTAGTTGAGAGGGTTGGAATCACTTAGACCTTAAAGAAATGTTTGAAAGATTCTCAACAAGTAGTGAGGACAAGATAGTTATGTGTGACTCATTTATTATGGCCTCTTTTGGAAGCTTATATATATTTATATAACAAGGTAATATTTGCTTAATTTAGATTATAATGAATATGAATAGAATTTGTACAGGACGTATAGTATGAAACACTGCTAGTTCTCTTAAGCGATTTGAATACATTTTAAACTGAAAAGATATTAACTTATAATACACTTTGGCTTTAAGAAGAATTAGTGGTGAAACTTCGCAATCGGTTTGAAACTAATTACATGATTCAAACCACAAAAACTGATGATCTTAAAACACCTGCTTGAATAATAATAATAATATTCATAAACTACAAAGTAAAATTGTTGTACAGATACGGAAATAAGTGATGGCTGAATGGATTTACTGAAAACATAGAAATTCTTAATGCCAACAAAAATCATCAGTCAAGAAATGTCATATTAGAGATAACTCATCAGCCATTGATGATCGCACACAGTTAAACTTGTTTAACCAACCTCTGCTGTAATACTGCTTATGCCATTTGCAAATGGTTGCCCAGAACTATTTGTATTTGCAGACATATTTTGATTTGTTGTTGCAGAAAGACTGTTCCCAATGCCAGGAGACTGAACTGCAGGTGAATTGGCATTAGAAGTACTTGCACTTTCAGCCGAAACACCTGATCGATCAATAAGGGGTATCCGTCGGCGGATTGTATCACTTATATTACAGAGATTTGTTTCATTATCCCCATCACTATTAGGGTTAGTTAACAGATGTACCAATAACAGTTCTGCACGACCTCTTGAATATGATTCTGGAAAAAATTTGAAAAATATGGGAACATAAGTAAAATATACTACTGGTTAATAAGATAAAACATTCACAACTGCTGAGGTAATGGATAAGGTTGAATAAAAAAGTGTATAGAAGAAATCAGGGTAAACCAAATGAAGTTAACGAATCTAAAGAAAAGTCGCATACAAACTGGAAGAAGAAAAGCAACCAACATAGTTATGCATTCTGCGTCTCATACTGTATAATAATTAAAGGAATATATATATTTTCAAGTATTGGTTTTGTAGGGATTTTGTTTGATTGCATGGAGGATTTCATCATGAGCTGACATTGGTTAGAGAACCACTGGAAAACCAATGTCAGCTCATGATGAAATCCTCCATGCAATCAAACAAAATCCCTACAAAACCAATACTTGAAAACTAATCTGATGCTCACTAGTGACTGGCCCTATTCAGGCAGTTAACCTGGGGTTCTAGTGGGAAGCCGTGACCAGTAGGGTCCAGCAGGTTGAAGATGAGGCAGTAACTCATAGAAGAAGACATTGCGAAATGGTCGCGCTATGTCGTGAATTGGCAGAAGTTAGAACTCAAGGACCATTGGATCGGGTCCCAGTGGCTCAATGGTCTACGAGCTCTCCTTGTAATCAGAAGGTCCTGTGTTCGAACCCTTGTGGTGGGTGCGTACTGATGAAGAGTCCCGGAGAGCTAGGACGAAGCAGCTGTCCAGTACTCCCAGGTTTTCCAGTGGTTCTCTAACCAATGTCAGCTCATGATGAAATCCTCCATGGAATATATATATGTCTGAACTAAGCTAATGAAAATAACTGAACTATAAAGACATTTTGGCGACAAATACGTTTAATTTTACTTCGGTCACAGTAAGAGTTTCCCTATTATTATTCTGTTTTCCCCTTGAGTAACTTCTAAGCGTAAAATAATCTCCTACTGAAACTGAGATAATTTTGTGATGAAGAAACAATATTCACTTAATTAACTATTGGCCACATACACTTGGTGTTAGTTGTCATGTAACTGGAACTACCTTCAGAATACAACCTAATTTGCTGAATCTACAATATGTGCGAGAAATGCAGATAAGCGACCAAGTATAGGTTTCTCTATTGCATTATGAGTTACACAGCAGGTAGGTTAAGGTTCAGTCTGCTGATCACAAGCTAATAGATCAGAACTCAATAACTTTCAAGATGTGCAGGATTACACCGACGAAACGTCAAAGCGGTTAACATAAATTAAATGTTTATTAAGGGAAAAGAACTAACTTTTTCTCTTGCCCAACTCAAAAACTTCAAGTGCGATACGTTTGGAATTATTGTTTAGATCACTGAAATTAACAATAAAAGGTATCATTTACACTCAAAGTACTATGCATGATAAAATTATATATATGTAATCCTCGTGTCAAGTTAATTAAAAGGTTTTAAAAACTTAAATGGAATGGAGAATCCTCTTGGATCTATGTTGTACTAACAAATATAACCTACAACGGATACAGAAAAAAGGGTGAGAAAATTATCTACCGTAAATAATGACAAATGCTTGAATACCACCATGTGTTTTTGAAAAGAACAGTTGTCCTTTGGCATTACAGTCTCTGATAACACATGGGATCTGAAAATATTTGACGATCAATAAGTATCCTGTAAAGTTTATCAACAATTTCAAAACTCGGTGAAAAGGGAGGACAGACTTTTCACACCACGATCAATCAGATAGTATTGCTTCATAAAAAAAAACAATAATAGCACACACCTATCTAAATTACCTTTAGGATTACTGAGATGCTTCTCCAGTAGCAGAATGTCTGATGTATAACACCAGTATTACCTAATTCTTCAACTTGGCCTCTCAGATTCAAATGTTACATGACGTCCGATTTGAGATCATCGTGAAGTTTATGAGAATATTCGCATTTTGTGGCAGAAATATAAGTGATTCGGCAGCTAAGTGATATATTTCCGTGCCAGAAAGATTATGATTCGGTAATTTACAGTGCTAAAACATCGACTCCTATGGCCAAGACGCTTTTTGCATACGGAACCATAAAGCAGATGTCTTAATTTTTACTGAAGTGGAGTATTAATTTTACTACATTCCTGGATTTAGCCACTTCGGATTTTATATCACCGATTTTTTATCTAGCCTCTTAACCCACACTTTTCTATTCTCAAACTGTTAACTTCCATGCAAAATGCAAAGTGTGGTGAACTGTCAGATTTTCTTGTGAGATGTTGCCCTATTATAACTTCCTGTTGTTTTGTGAAGCATAGTAATTTTGTCAGAAGCTTTTTTTCAGGCTTTCGCTCTGAAAAATGAATAACCCGAATTTTGTACATCTTTTTGGTTATAATAAAGTTGAACACTGCTTTCACTATTTCTTTAAATCACAATCTTATTAGAAATAAAGACAATGAATCTACTGAACACTGAATAGTAAGGCTACAGTAAAGTCCTTATACTCTTAAAGCCTATATAAAGAATGTGATACAAGTACATATTCCAACCTGAAACAAAAGAGCAAACACCTCTGAGAGGAGCTTTTTACTGCAAACAAAGACACTGATAAATGAGGATGCTTGCAAAGCTAAAGAAAGTACTACCACAGTCAGAATATGTACCACCCTCTCTCTCTCTCTTATATATATATATATATATAGAAATATAGATAATCGTTATTACTATTCGTTTGTCTCACACCTCTGTTTACTGTCTCTAATATGCATTTCTTCTACTTTCTTCTCTTGCTTTGTGTGCTACATAGAGTGTGGCGACTTGAACTGCTGCACATATGTGCAAAGTTCTATGTCGAAAACCGACCGACCGACCGATATATATATATATATGACAAAAGGCTATTTTCGCTCTCTTGTTTTAGGTCAATACATCTCGTTGCATCCGAAGTATTAGCATGGGTTTCAAACAATGAAATGTTGCGTGATGAACATATGAACTCATAAACGCCTGACAATGAAGGACCTGTGTTTTGTAAAGCGTGATGGTTCCTAGCCTCCCAAACCGCGGTAGGTGGGGGTTGGAAGTCAACAGCTTAACCCAGTAAGTCACACCCCCAAATATATGAATATATATATCAACACTTTCGACTTACAAAAGCAAATGTTGGTCCCAGAATAACTGTCCAGACATTGAACAATGAGTTGAATGTCTCTGATATGGCTCATCTAATTCAACGACACAGTAAGCACCAGAAATGCCTGTAAATTGTAATTAGTAGTACAGTGATATGAATGTTAGTAGAGAATCATCACTTAAAATGTAAACTCAGAAAGGTGCTCTCATAATTTTTTTACTTGAAAATAGAAAAAATACGAAAAAGACTAATAATATCAGTCCAAACTTTTTTCTCATTCTTATCATTTCAACTATAGCGCGAAAAATATATGCTTCCAATTACAAGCAAAATATAGGGAATTTAATGCCTCAACCTGCAACAATAGCGAAAATGTGATTAATTTGAAAGAACCTAAGGGTAGAAAGACCAATACTCTTAAGTAACCTGTAAAACAACTGGCTGTTGCTCCAGGCAGTGTATTTCACTTGGCTAAGGTTTATATGACCACACGACTCTACTGCTAGACTGTAGCTGATGCGATCTGGAGCCGCGGTGATGCAAACCTACTCCTCATCCACGTAGTAGCATTCTACTACTTTTGGTTATATTGCCTTAGTTTTCTCTCTTCTCTCTTATTAAATCCAGCTAGATATCCACACACGAAATGTGGCAACCTGATGCACTTCGCATTAAGACCAGGTTAAGCATTCATAGTATTCAGCCGTCTACTGTTTACTTTATTCAAACACAAACCTAGAAGGAAATGAGTACCAAGAAATGTATCCCTCAATCTAGTATAACAACATCGAAAGAAACGTCAACAGATAACAGGGTGAACATGTGGCTATTCACATTAACTAAATTCAGAGGAGAGTTCTTCAAATGTATTACTTTGATATTAGAAGAAAAAAAGGTACGGTCCTCATACATGACTGCTTTTGAGCCAGTGAGTAACGTGATCTTCAGTACTTTATCCCAGAGGTCATAATGTATTAATGGAAGTTGATCTAACACAACTTTCACTCAGAGTTCTACATTATGCTGTATCAATATTCCCAGTTATGTCGAAAGTACCAGGGTTGGTGAATAGCAAATATTTCCCTAAAAGCATGATTCTGTGTCTCTAGGTAATTTCGCTCATATAAATGAGAATATAACCATCGCAATAAGAATTTCAAAGTTGAAACGCAAGCATCTTAATTCTTAAATAAAACTGATTACCTTTTTATAATGCTTTTCATACGACGAAGATCAGTGTTGGACTATGAGTTCAGATTAACATTATACAGGTTGACGGTTTTATACTAAGCAAGTCAATTCTAGTGGTTCACTTAGATTAATTGGAAGGTGTTACTCAACAGCTACGTGTACTTGAATGCACTTGACATGAAGCCGCAAATATTATGAGACCTAAAGATACTACTTCACTGTCAAAAGCTTGAGAAGTAAAGGCGTATTAGAACTCGTAACCTATTAGCTGAAAGTCTAATACGAAATTTAATGCTGCATCGTTCTAAATATCTAGAATGTCATATCAAGATGAGAAAAAAATGAGTGGTCGAGCTTCGTGGATTTTATATTGCTAGTGTTTAAATCCCAATATGACAGAGCGGATTACTATGCTGCAAGTACAGAGAGTTGACAGGAGTTAAGTGATTCTTCTCTATCCTTACCGAGATCTGGTGGGTTGCTCATCCCCAATATGTGTAAATTAATTAATGTGTCGTTGCGCATCATTCTTGAAGCTATCAAGACGATAAACACATCCTGAATATGCCTACTTTCCTATTGAGATTAGACGATTGAAGCTTGGTGTCGAGCCTAAAATGTCAATTGATAGTTAGCATTAATTAATATTGGTAACCTGAGAACACCTCAGTGCTAAACTTAGTTACTACGTGACCAAATCTAATAAAGTCATAAATGGCTCCTAGTAGGAGTGATTAATGTACATACATTGGTTGCAGGCCTTCTTTACGTTTTATGACCACACAAAGTACCTGATCTATAGATTTCACTTAACAAAATTAGGACTAGATCACTATGTTGCATACAATCACAGAAATAATTGGCTAACGCAGAGGTGAATTTTGATCTAAAACATTTATGACTTCAATGCAAACCGAGATTACTGGGGTTTTTCAGTGAGCAGCAACTTTTACGAATTCAAGCGGGGATGCATTCTCATTACATATATCTCTAATTTATTAAATTACATGTGGAAAATGGGCGTCTCTAGTGATATCACTCGCTATGGAAACCTTAAAATACTTCAGTAACACCGTATTTCCCAAGTAATATTACTTCTGTTGAATACTAACAATAAACTATGCCCAGATTTGTAGACAATGGGAATATATTCGAAACAAACAAACTATAAACACAATGTCCTGGTAGAAGAGAATGTTATTTTTAACTTTTAGCGAAAAACTATGCAAAATTATCTTTCAGTTCTCTATAAACTTTCTGCTCGAACAGAATTCACTCATCTAAGCAAATGTATTTATAACTTGTTTCCAACTGGCCTCCGATAAAATGTACTTGAATGAGAGGGCTAAGTCTCAAACGAAATGGAATCAAGAGAATTCACTTATTCTCTTGTTTTATTAAGTAACTCGCTTTCCTGTGACCATAAGCAGTCACATGATTTCATAATGGTGAGCTTCCGTATAATATTTTTAAGTTAGATATAGTCTAATAATAGTTGGCAATGGATTTAATCTTAATAAGGCAATGATTTGATAGGTTAGTTTTAAATAATAGATTAACAACTCACTTTTCACTGAAAGTTCCTCTGCCTTGACTACTTTAACCAAAAGCTTTTTTGATGCGAGATTGTGTGCGATTCTTTCTCTCAAGGGTGATACATCTACTTTGGTATTTGGTTTACGCATTGAATTACGATGATAAAAATCCTGTGATGAATCACAGCGTTCTGTAGTTTGACCACTTGAATTTTCAATTTCTTTTTTCGTTATTCTTGAGTCGATCAACTCTACTTTACTGGGGGATGAGAATTCAGTATCAATTTGTAATTGCACCGTAGGTTCCGCCTTACTTTGCTCCATATTTTGACTGTTTAAGTCCACATATTCAGTCTCTCGTTCTTGTAACAGGCCGGTTGTGCCTTCCTCACCATAGCAAGATGCTGACCTGATCATTTTACCCATAAATGGCCTTGGAAGCTGACGAGCTACTAGGGACTGACGCAAACGAGCGTTGTGTGAAAGTACGATGGGAGAAGACGGTTTGTCTTTTTGAGCTACCAGAAGAGCAATTTCATCCTTCGGTATAGTTGATTTTACTCCTGTATGTCGTTCAGAATCACATCGGTTCACACTTTTAAATTCATTTTGACTGACAAAGTCCAGGTTATTTAATTCGCAAGAAAGTGTTTTGACTGTCGAATCTGTCCATTTGTGGGCTGAATCCATGAAAACTTTATGTTCTTGTGCTTTAGGATGAGATGAAGTTTCTCCAATCTACAGCAACATTTAAATTTCCACCAGAAATAAAAGGTAAATAAATGTACATCCACCTGTAAACTAATGATTTTATTAGTAAAGTTTATTGACTTCAAAGCGTGGTTCATCACTAAATATTTTTCTGTAACTGTGAATCTGGTCGTCTACCTTAGTATCTCAAGTTTTTTAGAAGACGTGATATTCTCTAAACTCATTGACAACTACATCATAGTATTTTGTTTACCGCTTTCGTACTGACAGAAATCCCTACGATCATAATTTTACTCTCTCCACCATTAAATGCATACTATCTATTGACAAAATAACCAGCAGTGAGTACTTTCTGAGTCAAGTGAAGTGGGTCTCTTCAGTGAACACTCTTGAAAGAACCTAAATTTCCACAGAGATTTATACAGAGGAGATTACTACAGGTCACCTTCAACCTGCTGTCCCCTATCCATGAATACTGTTGTATAGTCATGAAGTAAAAGCATATATATATATATATATATATATATGAGTGAAGGGATTTCACAAATTAGCAGCTTAATTGAAGATAAATAAACTAGTATCAAGTTTGCGTGAAAACATTCTAACATAAAATCTGACACATTGCTTTCTTTTTCAGTAATACTCACTTAATACTTAAGAATACATTTACCCAGAAATGGCGAATTACAACCAAAAGAATATCTTACGTCAATCAAAGATACTAACCTGATTCTCTTTACAAAGTAACGTATCTCTGCTACTTGGATACTGTTTCACCATATCGTCAGGCCCCCAGGATACAGTCAGTTCTGAAATAATCTTGACAAGTAGCTTCTTAAATTCAGATGACTAAACAAGAGGAATCTTTAAAATTTTAAACTTACTGGTATGAACATTTTTGCATCCATTAGTACATCAAATTGAGGTGGGGAGGTGGAGTACATTATTAATTTGGATATCACCATATTGACAGCTTGTACTTTACAACACATCTAAGCAAAGAATAAATAATCTAACTACTATAAACCTTCATGAAGTAATTTTTCAATGAAACTGTGATTTTCTGAGACTGTTCACTTTGTTTGTAGACAAGATCGCCATGCATGTATAACATCGGTATTGAAACAGAAAAGTATAAAGTCTTATCGCTATAGTCAAAATAAGAAATGAACAAACCAGATTTTCAGAGGATTCTTCTCGATGCACTTCAAAAGACGAAGTCTTAACGTCTGACAAAGTGCATTCAGAAAATGGATTAAAATGTACACTTTCTCTTTCCTGAAGAATAAAAATAAAATGAATTACGGCTTACCAAAGAGTTATTGATGCAGTCATTGACTTTGAACAACCAAACATTACATAACATGGATGCAGTTAAGTTATTCAATTTATATAGCCGATGTAGATTTTCAATGTCTGCAAATTCATGGTCATTACAACTGTCTGTTTCTCGAACATTTTTGTATCGTTTACTTAACTCCTTCGGTCGAATTTTCCATATGTATATAGTTAAAAATATTGATAAAACTAATGTGAGGACAAAAACCACTCCATTGGTGTTTTTCAGCAAAACATTTAAGTTGAGAAGGAACGAAGAGAAAAATCCTCTTACATCCGTCCAATCATAAACAGCGAGTTTGGCTATAAGTGCCTCCATACCATCATTGTGGCCTTCTTGTTAGGCAACATTCAGAAGCCCGCCATATCTAATACCGTGTACGCCCGAAATGATGCTTTTAAAGTATAATGTGGTAGTATGACTAGTCATCTAGATAACTTTTTGTCTAGTTATATTCGGTTTGTTTACTCCTTGAAAAATTTTCAAATGTTTTATTTGCTGTTCCATACTTAAGCTTCAGGTTAATCATTACCAAAATATAGCGAAGAACGAGCAATTAAATCAATCACAGTTCTGCTTTCACAAAAAATCCATCACTCTTCATCTTTTTGGTTTACTTTTGTAGTGCCAATACATCAAATTAGACTGGTATTTTTATTAGTATTCTGCCAAACTGCTGTTGACAGTTAAAGAAAAACACTGTGCGTAAAATGACTGCTATAATACCATCACTATCTTTGAAAATTCAAATGACAAGTTACGCTCTTCTTAAAGAGAGTGTAGCTATGTGATGACTTCACCAAAAAGTAAATTCTACCTTCTCAGTGCATCATAAGCCACCTAATAATCAATTCGACTACCTCTGCCTTTCAGGGGGATAGTCCTGCCTGAATCCAGTGACGGGGGGGAGAGAACTGTAAGTATTTGTTGTAGTGATTTTGAATTTCATGTTGTCAGCTCCACTGATTAGGTACTGGTTTAAAATGAGATACCTGTTACTAAAGATTAGAAATCAGACTCTACCAAACCATCTGCTCCCTACATATCCCTTATCCTCCTCACGACGTAAAGCTACATTTACTGTGCTCTAAAGGCTTGATTTGAACATCACTGTGAACGCACAAGATCCTCTAATAACAATGTTGGTAAATGACAAGTTATTATCTCATCTGGGCTACTGAAATTGCTTCGCACCGAAATGCTTAATTCCATCGGAATTTATCATTGTTTTAATTGTTCACTCATATCAGAAAACCTATACATGAACACGAACTCTGGTTTAACTTATTTGCTAGTAAACACTGTGCCATTCCTCAACGAAATTAAGATATACTTCAGATTATTACTTTATATGTAAATCCCGTATGAATAAAGTATTTTGGAACTAAATACGCTAAAAATGTTTGCACTATATGTTCACATATTTTATAATAATAATATATATTTATTCCTGTTTATGCAGGAACATACCAATTGTACAGGCATGGATAAGTTATTATATAAATTACAGTTTGTTTGTTCAATCTAACATTAGAGTCAGTCAGAACAGTCTGCAAAATAGTCTGTCTGTGTAACACATAAAGAGATATAGAAATATTGTCTTCGCATTAACAAAAAACCCAGACTTCAGATGAATGTGATACAAATATCTGGGAAAAATAAAGCTTGAAGTCAATTCTCCTATAAGACTTTGTTGTGAACAGCATCCGTGAGATAAAGTTTATTGATGCATTATTTTGGTTCAATAATGTATTTATTCCATTTTTGTCAGCAGTCTTATCGTAGTTTTATAATAGGAAAGAAATTTGATCTTTGATACGAAAATTAGATAAGGTAATGTTAGATTGTTTTACTGCATCAAATGAGGTCAATTCTAGAACTATCCATTTGCGCCATTTGCGTCAGCATGGCAGACTGTACATGTAAGCTGAGTAATACATTGATAACTGTTTGAAAACCAGTTGCTTCTTTATTTCAGATCAAGAATACTCCTTGTACAGAATGTTAGCCAGCGTTTTCAAGTGGTTGCATCGGATCGTTCATGGAATTTGAGTTTGAATTTACATAAATGGTCATTTCAGTTTGGATGTTGGGTTGATCGACCTCAACCAGGAGGTATATAGAAGATTACGCTCAGCAGGGAGATAAAGTATGTAAAAATGAAGAAAACATTAATATTTTATGTATATATAAATGTATATCATTGTATAGTAAACACTACCCATAATCTAGTTGTTTTTCATGTAATTTTGCGAAGTCTTAGAGTTAATTTAATGTCGTAATATTTAGTAATGAGTCTAGGCGTTATAGTGTTCTAATAGCTCATGCGTTTTGGAAATAAATGGTGCGGTGTGATTGGCATAGTCATTGGGATGAAGCAGTTTATATAGCAAGCGTTTGAAGGTTATAATAGAGTGACAGGTCCTTATTTCTAGGGGTAAACTGTTCCAGATCTTAGAGTACATGACTATGAAGAAGTTTGCACGGAGTGCTGTTTTACAGTTTTTCCTAGATACTGTGCACGTTTGGTGACGAAGGTTGTAAGAGCTTTCCGGTGAGAACTGTATCTCCTTGCTGTCTGAGAATGATATTTTATGCAAGACTTTAAAGAAGAATGTTAGGTTAATGCTCAGTCGTCTCATCCAGAGTGGGTCGATACCTAGAGTTATACACCTTGATGTGTAGTCCTTTTCGCAGTCAAATCCTAGTAGTTTAGACGTGAAGTATCGTTGGACACTTTCTATTTTAAGTTTGTCACTTACGCGAGTGCTGCTGAGAATAAATGGACAATATTCAAGTAGTGGTCTGACACAAGTTTTATATAATAATAGCTTCGCCTCGTAGTTGTGGAAATTCCTGAGTATGCATCCTAAGAGCATCCTCGATTTACGCGTCTGTGTCGCCACTTGCTCAGAAAATGTCAAGTCACTAGAGTACCTGAGTCCTAGGTCAACAACACTTTGGAGTTTAGGCAAGTCAAGAGATTCAAGTACCAGTTTAATGTTTATTGAGGGTGCACCGAAACAGATCCAACCACATTTTTTAAGGTTGAATTTTAGGTTCCATGTGGAGGACCATGCAGTTACTCGATCTAGTTCTTCCTGAACAGCTTTCTGAAAGTATCCTAAGTCATCACAGTGGAATGTGTAAGCTACTTTAAGATCATCTGCGAAGATAAATGGTTTGCCAAGTGAGAAACAGCTGCATATGTCGTTGACATATAGAGTGAATAGGAGGGGGCCTAAGACGCTACCTTGAACTACTCCAGAAGTGACTGGACTAGGTTTAGAGTTTACAGAACCCAGTCTAACTACTTGGGACCTATTGTTAAGGAATGATTCAATCCATCCTAATAATGGGTTACTTATTCCTAAAGAGTTTAGCTTATTTATTAGAAGCAAATGGTCAACGCGGTCAAAGGCTTTGGATATGTCGAAGTAGATGACTAGTACTAGTTGTTGTTTGTCTCGGCTGCTAGTTATGTAGTTAAAGAAATCAAGGTGACATGTCATGCATGATCTGGATTTTAGGAATCCATGTTGGTTTGGACTTAGAATATTGCAGCTGAGCATATATTTGAGGATATCATCTTTAACTATTCGTTCAATGATTCTAGATACTATGGGTGTAATATTGATTGGCCTATAGTTGTTGACTTCAGTTTTTGATCCGGATTTGTGTTTAGGTACTATAAATGTCGTCTTCCATTTATCTGGATAGGTTTGGCTTTCTAGGGACATTGTAAAAATCTTAAGTAATAAAACGGAAATGTCAGAACCACCGTGTTAATAAAGATACGATGGTATACCGTCAAAACCGGCACTACTAGAGCTTTTAAGAGTATTAACGGCTTGGTTAATATTAGAGTAAGTGAAATGAACTGTAGTGATTTGTTTCAGCGTTGAAGATGAAGGGAGTTCTATTTTAGATTGTAAACCGAGAAGTGGACTTGTAGGCTTAAGGTAGTTAGCTGCAAACGTCTCATTAAACAGTTCACACATGTCTGCATGTTTGCTGTATAGTTTGCCCTTGTTTATAAGGAGAGAAATTTTATGGCTTTGGCGATTCATTCGTTTCTTTAGGATTTCTGTGAGAGCACCTACTCTGGTGGTGCTGGCTAGTGCCGTGCATTCTTCATTTCTCATACGCAAGTTATGAGCTTGCGAGATGGAGCTAAGAGTACTAAGTATTGACCCTAGTGTACTAAAGTCGTGTCGCCTGAAGTAACTTGTTGACAGTCTTTTCAGTTTCCTACGATCCTTTGGCTTTATGAATGTCTTTCTATGTGGGGAAAACTTTAGTGTTTGAAATGGGATGACAGCATCTAAGCATGTGTTGGAGTTATAGTAAAAGATGTCTAGAGCTTTCGAGAGGCTATCAGTATAGAAGTACTCACTCCATTCTGAGGATCTTAGCATTGACTTTACTAGAGTCCAGTCTGCCTTACTGTAGTTCCTGTAAGTTATTTGTTGTGAAGTAGGGGTATGGGTTGCATTGCTACTTGACGGAAGTGGCAGTGCACACAGCACTGTTTTGTGGTCACTCCCTGAAAACTCAGAACCTACTAGGGTAGAAAGGGGACTTATATTATGGCAGAAGATTAAGTCTAGTACGTTATTACCTCTTGTAGGGGTTGTAACAGTCTGCTTCCAGCCAAGTATATCCAGTGTGCCTAAGAACTTATCAAGTTTAGTTGGACCTGTGGGTATTTCCCAGTTGATTTCTGGTAAGTTAAAGTCTCCACATAGGATCTTATGATCGTAGTGGATGGTGGATAATTGTTCTAGAGTATTAATAAGTTGGGTCTCGTAATTACTAAAGGTGCCAGGTGCTCTATAGGTGCATCCAATTAATACTATTGCGTTATTTAAGTGTAAGTTAACCCATAAAGTCTCAGGCATGTTAAGTGTACTACTTTCTAGCTGTGATACAGTAAGTGTATTCAGAAAGTACATGAGACAACCCCCTCCCTTACCACCTTCCCTGTCACACCGAAAGTGTGTATAGTTATCTAAGCTTATCTCTTCATCCAGTATGTTCGAGTTACACCAGGATTCAGTGATGACAATTATAGGGGGTTTGTATATTACTGTGAGTGCTCTGAGCATCGGTAGTTTATTTAGAACGGATCTAGCATTTATGAGGATTAGGTAAAGATGAGATTTGAAATAGCATTTGAAGTACTTAAGTTCGTTAATCAGCCCCGAATGTGGTTCAGCACCCAGTAGTACTATTTGACATGACGACCCTATGTTAAGAGGAGTTTCAGCATCATGTTCAACTATGTCTATCGAGTTGGTGTGTGCTGTTTTCGGTGAAGAATTGAGCGTTGGAGTACTGGGTGTGCTATAGGCTAAGGCATTTTTATTTTTAGTTA